AGGTGGAACCTGTAGGAAGCCATTACTTGTCATTTGAAGTTCATGAAGCCAGAAGCATACTTGCAAATATTGTTTAGTTTAATGTTATTGGAGACCTAAAAGCAGAGCTATTAGGGCTCAGACTGATTGCTCTGAGTTTGGTGGTATGTACTTATCTATAATCCTAGAACTTGGGAAGCTGAGGCAGAATTACTACGAGTTTCAGGTTAGCCTGGGCTACAGAGTGAGAATGTAGCTCAAATTTTTTTTTTCCCTTCTGGGAAAAGAGCTAAGGATGGGAAAGGAGATGTCTGTCTTCAGGAATAGATAGATCATCTTGTTTTGTTTGTGAACAGTATGTCCTCTTTGACTGGCTCATTTGTTAACATGTTGTTACTAGCCTGCTTTATTTAGAAAGTGACATCTTTCCACACTCCCGTGTGATTTTTTTTCAGGAAGTGGAAGTAGGGAACCATGTTCTATGCTGTTGTGGGACACACGAGGCCTCCAGCTCTGTAACAAAGCTTCTTTTAGAGAGTGCCTAATATCTTGGGAGGCTAGGACTGGCTACTGGAAAGAACACTTTTCCCCACTGACACCTGCCTGGGTCAGGCCAAAGGAATGTCCTCTCTAATCTCAGAGCTTCTTTCTCTCGTTAGAAGACATGGTAGGCAGACCTGGTCACTCCTGCCTTGGATGCGATGGGCAGGTGGCTACTCTGGGATCCCAGACCTTTAAGACACTTAGTCTTTCTCGCTCTGGCCTGAGTCTCTCCTGTGAGTTTCCCTGGTCCTCTTCTTAGGGGTCCCTGCAGCTGCACATGACTCTTCATAGTGGGCAGACCTATTCCTGTGGGGGAAGCCTCTCAATTCAGGCCTGCCAGTGAGGGTTTAGGAGTGCCGTCTTGGTACAGTTTGTTTGTGGGTACCTAAAGGGCTGCTTCTGGAATTCATCCTGGCATTCACCATCTCTCTGTTGAATTGTCTGGAACACTCATCATCAATCTTGGCTGCCAAGCTGAACTGCACCCGGGCATTGCTGATCACCCAAAAGCCTGAGGAATCCACCGTCACCACGACTCTGAGGCTTCTGCCAAATGAATGGTAGGCAGCTCTCATAAGAAGCATATTTCTGATTGCAGCTGGCCACGTGTCGTGTGATGATGATTTGCCTAATCTTGCCTGTTGTCTGAAGATGAGCCATCTCTATGAATGTGATGACGGGCTTCTCATCCCACACCTCCTCCCATCCCTCCTCCACATGGCTTAGTCCACTCTTACCCATGGAGATACCATTATTCTCCAATCTCATAATTGCATTTAATTCCTACATGACTCAACAGTCTCCCCCAGAGCTTTGGAAATTACTCACTGGAATATTAAGGACTGGCTAAATAAAGTGAATGAATCATAACAAATCAGATTGCCAGAGATCTTGAGGCTGCTCTCTCCTCTCTTAGATGAAAAATGAGATGCAAATGAAGCTACCTGTTTGCTAAGAATCTTAGCAGCAAAAGGGGTCTGAAGATAGTTGTCTATATAGAATATGCAGGACACCCAGAAATACGCATGCATAAAGGAGTTAAAGGCCTTCTGATGCAAATGAAATAGTAATCTCTAATTCTGAGAAGTATTTTAGAGTTCTCACTCAGCCCCCCAGAAGCAGCTGGCCTCTGCACCCACTGAGGGTGAATTATGGAGGCAAATTTATTCTTAATCAAATCTTCTAGAATTCAATGTATGTCTAAAACAAGAAAAACTTCTCTCTAATGCTGGCAGCTCAGAGGAGAGAATCAAAACCTGTGTGTGGAGGACTCTATAGCTGGTGGTCTCTGTGTGTGGGCATCTGGGAGGGAAACAGCCTTGACTCTCTGTAATTGTTATGGTAGCCCGTGAGCCGTGGGGCTTGGCAGGTCCAGGCGCCTGCTGTGTGTGTGGGAGGAAGTCCTGTGAGGGACACACAGTTCTTTAGATTCAGCATCCCATTGTGAGTTTACATGTGCGGTCACAATGGCCACCTGTGGGAAGCAAGAGCAGGAGCTCGTGAACTTCCAAGCAGGGATTATATGCTTTTCATGCATCATCCTTGAGAAATCAAAGCATGTAGGAATCACAGAGATAGGTCAGAATGTTGATCAGTGTAGTTAGCTCTTTGGAGGGAGTTTTTGGACTGTTTGTCTAATCCTAAAAGCTCAGTAGATTACATCCTTTGGAAGTCCCCTTTGCACTGATTTTAAGGCATTTTGGGGAATGTACTCTTCTGCTTATTAGTGATAACTAAATATCAGTGCTGGCGGGGGGGGGTTATTTATAACTATGAGTTTCTGGGGCCGCTGGCTCTCACTTGGGCTGAGTGAATGGTTTGTGTTCAGGCCAAGTTCTGTCATAGGGTGGCTGTGATAAGGTCTCTGCTGCTGCCTCCATGGAAGTGACAGTAAAATGCTTGCTGGGGCTTTTACTCTGAGACTATTGACCTTCCTTCGCTGCCGGCTCTGGCATCTTCCTCTGCTGTCCCACATAAAGGAGAAAGTTCACGTCCCCTGGACTCGGTTTGGAGCAAGGGTCCTCTGGATATATTTAGTGCATTCTAATCTCCAGAAAGACCAACTCCCTGAATGTTAAAGTTAGAAATAATTAGACAAGAGAGCCCCTTCTCTGGAGCTCATGTGACTGTCAAAATGACAAGGAGAGGAAACTGTTTGGGGTCAGACTCCCAGCTCTCTGAACCTTTGGCCTGTATTGTTTATAGACAGACTATGACACCCCCATGGTGTGATAAGGTAGGTGTGGCTATTTCTGCCTTTGTATATACTGTTCACTAAGAATTGCTGTAAGAAGTAAAGACCTTGGCTTCAGACATCCAAGTAAATGTAGCCGTGAAGGGATTGTATACTCCTTCAACCCCATTTGCTGCAGAAAATGCATCTTTTTGTCTCTGCGCATACAGTTTGGAGACTGATTTAATATTGGCAGTAATGCAAAACTTTTTATATCTTGTGCTGACTGCTTGAGACCCAGGCATATAGAAAGCAACATTTCTTTGCCATATTTCAAAAGTTTTTAAAGTGTCTCAGGCCTTTTCTTTCTTTTCTTTCTTTCTTTTTTTTGGTTTATAATTTGAAACATGTTTAAGCATAATTTTTGAGCTTACCAAACGGTGTCCTAAAAATGAGTTTCACTCTTCCATTTTTCACAGAGTGCATATTCCCTGAAAAGGGTGGTTCATATTAGAGCTTTGTCAAGATTGCTTTTATAGCTATAGAGCAGAGCTCACTGTCTCAGACAGAAGTAGAAATTATAAAAAATATTCTTTTTTTGTTTTGTTTTTTGTTTTTTGTTTTTTTAATAATTTATTTTTTCTCAAATCGTAATTCATTCACACAGGGGTTATAAACACAGAAAGGCAGGATGTGGGGAAGGGAATGACACTGGAGTGTGGGTGATCGGGGGAGTACAGATATCTTTCAGAACAGGGTATTGGTTGGGTGAAGGTTCAGGGGACAAGTCACTATGACTCTGCCTATGACTCGCTTGTCCTTATCTAAGTTGATATTGTCTGCCAAGGCTACCTATTTACAAGGTCTATGACTGCTCAAGCTTGTAAATTTCCACAAAAGCTGTCTGTTTACATTAGCTTATAGCCATCTGTTTCAATGTTTTTCCACTGAGACCCAAGACTTGGTGTTAGTACACATGTATGACAGGCCTATGGCTGATTTTAGGCCTTCAGTGTGTAAGCAGGGCTGCCCCTGACATCTCCTCCCTTCAAGTATAGAAGGGCTGTGGCAATTCTAATTTTGCGAAGGCAGGGATAGAGGCCTGACCTCCAGTACTTGAAGGGGACCTTGTAATGGCTCCAGTCCCCCTGTCGTTGTCCAGTGAGGCATGAGGGCCATACCCATCCCGATGTCTTTTTCCTGGAGAGGGGATACTATAAAAAATATTCTTGCTGTACTGAATTGCATAAAAAAATCAGAACCATGATTGTC